TCATGTCCGTTGAATCAGTCACGCCATCCAAACATCTCATTCTGTTGTCCCCTTCTTCTCCTGCCTTCTATCTTTCCCAGCATCAGGGTCTTTTCCAATGCGTTGGCTCTTTGCATCAGGTGGCCAAAGTACTGGAGCTTCAGCTTCAGCATCAGTCCTTCCAGTGAGTATTCANGTGACAATATACACCCTTGACCTACTCCTTTCCCAATTTGGAACCAGCCTATTATTCCATTTCTGGTTCTAACTGTTGCTTCTTGACCTGCATACAGGCTTCTCAGGAGGCAGGTACAATGGTCTGGTATTCCCATCTCTTTAAGAATTTTCCACAGTTCGTTGTGATCTGCACAGTCAAAGGCTTCAGCGTAGTCAATGAAGCAGAAGTAGGTGTTTTTCTGGAATTCTCTAGGTTTTTCTATGATCTAACAGATGTTGGCAATTTGATCTCTGGTTCCTCTGCCTTTTCTAAATCCACCTTGTAAGTCTGGAAGTTCTCAGTTCATGTGCTATTGAAGCCTAGCTTGGAACCTCTCTGGAGGCAATCAAAACCGAGTTCTAGAAGTATGTGAAACTCAAGGGATTTCTGACAGTCACTCATTCCTTCTCAGTCTTCTGCCATCTACTCCCTAGCTTGGCACAAACTATACTAATTATCAGCTGTTGCATAACAGTTAACCCCAATTTAACTTGAGACAACATTTATTGCCTCTCATACGTTCCTATGGGCAGTAATTCGGGAGCTGTGTAGCTGTTGTCGTGGCTTGGAGTTTCCCAAAAGGCCATGCTGCTGGAGCCGTCTGGAGGCTGACTGTGGCTGGAGGGCCCACTGCTAAGGGGCGCGTCACATGTCTGCCGGCTGGTGCTGGCTGGTCAGCTCTCTCCCTCGTGGATCTCTCCAGAAGGCTCCTTGAGTACCCTCCCAACATGAGGCCGACCTTCCCCGGAGCCTGTGGTCCAAGAGGAAGCAAGCTGAAGCCGTGGTGTCTCTTATGCCCATGCCTTGTCAATCACACACAATATCCTGTTGCTAACAGCTCTGCTCCATTCACTGTGGGCAGCGTCTACACAAAGGTGTGAGTACTGGGGATAAGGATCCTTGGGGGCCATTCTGAGGGCGGGTCACCACTGAAACTTTGCAGAGAGGGGTTGTGGTTTTAGCGGACAAGGGAAGTGCAACTGTTGGACTTGCTAATAGCTAGTCCTGACAATAGACACGGGAATGAGGTGCAGGCCTGCGGCATGGATACATGCCACTGTCCAAACACAGTCTACCTGCTTGCTTTCAGTCTAGCCATCATGGCTAAGTTCAGACTGCCTTGTTCGGCCCCAGAATAAATTTGGGCAACTAACAAGCATTCGCATTTTCCTTCTTCACTGTCAATATGAATAACTCAGTTTCACTTTCTGTTTTCAGTGAAAGAATTTCCTTAGCTATTGTCTCCTGTGGTTTATCTCAGTGTTTAACAGCCTTCAGGGTTAGGTTTTTTAAAATATTCTTTGGTTAAGTTGCTCTTCTTCAGTGGATTGCATCAGTGGCAAAAAGCAAGTGGCAGCTTCTTCTGTCAGAATTCCTCTATATACACAATGCCACTGAGTTACTTCTTTTTCTCTGAGAGATAATTCCAGTTTGGCTTACCTTTGCCTCATGCTGACTTGGGTGGGGATTGTGTGTAGGTATGGGTATGTGTACTTTTATTAAGGAGGATTTCAAATGCATAGAAAATCGGAATGTTCTCTGAAGAACTCTCACGTCCCCAGTACTCACCTTCAACAGTTCCCCGACTCACGGCCAGTCTGGTTTAATGTCTTTTCTACCCACTTCCCACCATATCACCTACCTCTCCCGCATTGGATTATTTTGAAGCAAAGAGCAGAAATCTTCTCATTTTGGCCAAAAAAATAGATGTTTGACTTGTGTTAAAGAAATTCCTCTTCTTTTTGATTCTCAGCTGTCTGTGGGTAAAAAGCAAGATAAATGCCTTTGATTCAGCAGGGAACTCAGGGGCTTAGGGACATGATTGAAGGCAGAGAGAGAGGAAATCCCCTTTCTGTAATTGCTGGGGCAGAAACATATGACTTGTGTAGCAGGAATGTGTGGTTAGGCCTCTAAACCTGTTTTTCAGGACTGTGAGGGTAGAAATATCAATAACCTCAGATATGCAGACGACACCACCCTTATGGCAGAAAGCGAAGAAGAACTAAAGAACCTCTTGATTAAGGGGAAAGAGGANGGCATCACCGACTCAATGGGCATGAGTTTGAGCAAGCTCCAGGAGATGGTGAAGGTCAAGGAAGCTTGGCGTGCTGCAGTCCATGGGGTCGTAAAGAGTGAATGATCGACTGAATGGACTGACCACCACCAACACCACCACAGATAAGTCCCTGAAGAAGGGCCATGGTTTACAGTTTCAAGCACACTCTGGGAACTAGGGGGCTTTCCAGGCGGCACTAGTGGTAAAGAATTTGCTTGCCAATGCAGGAGACGCAAGCGATGTGGGTTAGACCCCTGAATTGGGAAGAGGAGGAAGTAGCGTCTCACTCCAGTGTTCTTCCTGGGACAATCCCATGAACAGAAGAGCCTGGTGGGCTACAGTCCATAGGGTCACAAGGAGCCAGACCTGATTCAGCGTAGAAGCAACGCCAAGGCCGTCAGGGAATTAGAGAGCTTCCAGATGCAGTGCTGCTGTATGACACTAGAGGGCACCATATACCAAAGGAAACATCGAGCTCTGCTAAAGCCAAGCAGAAATCACCTGGCTTTCAGACCCCGCGAGCAGAGCACACCAAGGTCATATGTATTTTGCATCTCTAGAATCAGATCATAATTACAACGTTATAATTTTCAATATTAAAAAGTTTCCCTGCCAATTGAATTTCCCAAGTAAATTATTTTTGGTTGAATATGATTTAGATATAATACTGCTGAGACCTGCATATTCTATGAGACTTACCCATTTTAGTACATTTAAAACTTCAGCAGCTTAACCTGAAAATAGTTCCAAATTCAAACTCTATATTCTTGGAAATAACTGTTGTCTTCTTCTTCGATGAAACAAATTTTGTATGTGGAATAAATGCACATCAAATAATTCTTTGGACAATTAAACCCAACAAGGCTCAACTCTTTCGGGAGCTTGGTTTCCTTCTCTGAGGCATCTGTTCGTGAATCCATCCATCAGCAAAGATTTCTTTTCTTATCTACAATGAATAAATTTATTGTCTTACAAAAATCATTGTCTAGAAATATGGGAATACAAGAAAAGATATTTGCAGTCAGGTGTCTGGTGGTCAACAGCCAGATTTCAAAGGTTTTCCTTCATGTGCTTGACGCTGTGCTAAACGCTGCAGAATGCAAGGATGAACCAGGTGTCGATTCTGCCCATTCAGTCTGGGGAGTGAGGAGTATGTGGGCAGACCAAAAAAAGGGGGATAAAAAAGAAAAGGAGGTGCTCTAGGGGACAAGTGAGCGCAGAGGTGGGCACCTATCAGAGGAAAGAGTGAGGAGCCGGGAAGCTTGCAGGAAAACTTCTAAGAGGAGATATTTGAACGGAGCCTTGAGGAGTGACAGAATTAGCTTTCCAGGCCCTGGGCCCAGAACAGCTAAGGCAGGGAAGAAGGAGAGAGCGCAGCATTTTGGTCAGTTTGTAGGCAGGTCAGATGGATGAATGCCCCGGAGTGTGGGTGTTGACTTGTGCTTTAGATTACTCTTGACAGCAGGATGAAGGAGAATAGTGAGTAGAGAGAGTGGTAAAGAAGCGATCACAGTAATGAGACTCCAAATCACCGAGTCCTGTAGGTGGCGAAGGATGGAGAGAAATGGATGAATTCAACTGATATTTACAAACGGTGCCAGATGCTGGGTGATGGGAGAAGGAGGGGCAGGAGGGTGGGGAGAGGGTGTGGGTTTGGCTTTGGTCCTCATTGAGCTTGAGAAGCTTGTGTGACACTCTGGTAGGAACGGGGTCCAGCAGGCAGTTGGATAGTGGTTTTGGAGATTAGTAGAGAACTCTGGGCCAAAAGATATGCTTTGGGGAGTGACTGAAATTTTAAGTGTTACAGCACTCAGTCTCTTTTTGACCCCATGGACTGTAGCCCGCCAGGCTCCACTGTCCATGGAATTCTCCAGGCAAGAATCCCAGAGTGGGTTACTATTCCCTCCTCCAGGGGATCTTCCCAGCCCAGGGATAAAACCCGGGTCTCCTACATTGCAGGCAGATTCTTTACTGTCTGAGCCACCAGGGAAATGATAGGAGTGGCTGAAATTGCCAACGTTTAGGAGTCAAAGAAATTGCATTCAGAAATGAGCAGATCAGGAGAATATAGTCGCAAAGCCATAGGGGAGTTCTTGGTTAGAAGACCCAACAGAAAAAAGACACAGCGTTTCCTGCACAGCCCCAGTACAAATAGAAATGAGGTTTGCTAGGACAAGGTTCTTCTCCTGTATTGACCCAGGGCCTAGCATAACATCAATACCTGAAAAATATTTCATGATTATATGTAGGGACATGCATCCCATGGAATAATACACAATCTCAGTGAAGAATGGGGTAGATCTATCTGTATTGATATAGTAAGAGTTATACTAAGTTTTAAAAAAGTACACACGTGTTAATGCTGTTTTGTGTGTGTGTGTGTGTGTGTGTGTGTGTGTGTGTGTGTGTGCACGCTAAGTTGCTTCAGTGGTACTTGACCCTCTGTGACTCTCCAGACCGTAGCCCACAAAGTTCCTCTGTCTATGGGATTCTCCAGGAGTGGGTTACCATGCCCTCCTCCAGGGGATCGTCCCTACTCAGGAATCAAACCTGAGTCTCTTCTGTCTCCTGCATTGGCAGGTGGGTCCTTTACCACTAGTGCCACCTGGGAAGCCCGTAATATTATATATAGTTATATAAATGATAAATGTATCTTTTTTTCTGTAAGGATAGTAATAGCTGATACAAACAAAGCACTCAGTATGTTCCAGGCACGTGTTTAGTCCTTTCTGTTGGGTAGATACTACCGTGATCCTGTTTAAACAGATTGGGAAATGGGGACGCAGAGTGGAGGTGATTAGCCCAGGATCCCACATCTAGTCGGGGACAGAGGCGAGAGCTGGAGACAGGCAGTCCATGCTTTCCACCACCACGATCCTGCTTCTCACGCAGGTAAGTGTTAACCGAGAAGGGCTCGGGTGGGACATAGTGGAGAGAAGTTTAGTTTTATTTCATACTCTTGAGTATTCAGAACTCTATTTTACCATGTGCATTATTACTTTCATCATAAAAAAAGCTAATTTAAAATTACTCTTTAAAAAAATAATAAAATTACTCTTTTGAGAATTGAGCTTTAGGTACAAGGTGACAGCGTCTCTGGAGACCTCTCGGGAGGTCCTGTGAGCTGCCTGATGACAAGGGGGACGGGCGTGGGCTGGCTGAGGACACAGTCCAACAGGCTTGTGAAAGGAGCTACAATGGGGATAACTGGTTTGCTTTCCATATAATTCAAGTCGGGCACAGGCAGCGTTGAAAGCACAGTGGGCAGTCTCTGGCTTGGGTTTTTCCAGGGACTTTTTCTTTGGTCAGTTTCTCTCACTTGGACATTCCCCACCGTGGATTCCTGCATACATGGTTTCAGGGGCTTCCTTCCATGGGTTTCTTTCTTTCCTTCTTTAATTAGGCAATACAGTCCTGTAACTGAAAAAGTTAAAAGCAGTTTGACAGGGGTAAATGAGAAATCCTACTCCCAACCTCTCCGTTTCCATCTCGACCCTTGTAACTACAACTTTTCCTTACTTTCTTTTGTAAACTTTCAGTGATTGCTTAGGCAAACTCAAGTATATATGCACATATATATTCTTTTTTTTTTTTCTTTTGGCTGTGCCTCTCCACATGTGGGAGATCTTTGTTTCCTGACCAGGGAACACGTATATATCCTTATTTTTATTTCTTTCCTACGCACCCAGAGTCGCTGTTTCTTCTTTTCTAAATTGGCATGCACAGAGCTTTCTCATTTCCTCCCCCTTTCTTTAGAGCTAAATAAGTCCCTGTCCATTGGAGAGTTTAAAGGGTCTTCTCCAGTGTGTTCCCTCGACCTCGTGGTTGGCCTTGCTGAGGTTTGAACCAGTGTTTCTTCTCTGCTCCTCTATATTTAGATTTCTTTCCAGTCAACAACTTCCTAGCAACTGACCGCATTTGTACCCACATCCCCCTTAATGAGGGGTAACCACAGGCTCTTTACTTCTTCGCCTTCTCCTCCAGGACACACAGTGAGGGCCAGCCCTTCCCTGATGGCCCTGGGGTAGCAGCTCACACCTGTTCCTTTTCCTGGTTAAAAACAGGCTCAGAGTTATTTCCACTTGAATCTCTTGTCACTGGCAATTTTCATCTTCTTGGAAACAGGTGTGCTGAGGTGGACCTCACCACCCCCCCCAACCAGGTATAAATGGTTAGAGTTTAATTGTATAAACACCTGTTGATGGAGCCCTGCATTGGCTGAAAAGGTATGAAGTTATGTGTTTCCTTTCTCTTTTTGTTTATTTTTTAACCTGTGTTTTATCACGGCTCTGAATTTGTTGTCTGATTGCTAACTTCCAAACACTCTGAACCAGCTCCATCATGGAGGAGAGGAGATTAGGGGAGGAGGAAAAAACCAACCTGCAGAGATCTCTGTAGCTTGCCCTAGAGAGGCAGAACACTTGGGTAATTGAGGATCATCCTGCTTTAACAGCCATCCCTTGGGGTGTGAGCTGAGCAGGGGATGGCGATATTCCGTTTTAATGAAGGTGGTGGTGTTTCTCCACCAGCTTAGCCTTCACAAGCGTTTTCTCCCCGGCTTTGGTGGCCCGCCCTGGAGTGCTCCCCTCTGCTGCCTGCATGCCCACCCGGCTGGAGCTTGCCATGGACATCAGGACTAGAACCTTCCACCGCTAGCCCTGCAGGGAAGGAGACAGTTTCAAGCTCAACAAGGGGAGCTGAAGATGCTCCTGCAGCGAGAGCTCACGGAAGTCCTCTCAGTAAGTCCGGCCGTCCTCCCCGTTCGGTAGAGGGTGGAAGCCGTGCACGTCCAGGGTCAGCCTCTGTGAACACCATCTGCCGCGCGCTGTCCACACCATGTAATTCCTATCGAGATTCTAAATACAGGGGAGCAAACACTAGGACCTTTGCTGTGTCTGTGGGCACGTATCCCTTTCCATGGTGTCTCGGGGGGTAGGGTTTCCAGGTGTTGGAAATTATATTTGAGGCTTTTGTCGATTATTCAATGTCCTCGTGCAGTGAAAATACAGCTAGTTATACTTGGAGCTATAGTGACATGTGACATATAGTGACATATATAACCAGTGACATGACCTGGAGCTGTCTATCCAGCTATCTGTAAGTGAATAAATATGATGTTTGGGGCCAGAAATGAAGCTAGGGGGTACTGCATGCTATGGTAGCAAATTTCCTGGTGAATGATAAATACTAGCAAGTTTGTCAGCCAAGAACAAGCTGAGTGGGACTGAGGCAAGAGATGTCTGGCCCATGACCAGTTGAACAGCAAACAGATTTACATCTCAAAATGGCCAGAAGTTGGATAAATCCACAGGTGAAACCTTACAATGGAGTGTTAGGAGCCTACCCTGAGGAAAATGCTCACTCTGGTGATTTTGGAGCTTTGGAGTTTTAGTACACGTTGTAGCCTGGAGTGATGTTATCAAACGCTGTCTTGACACAGTAGTTAACTGTGTTAACTTAGCTACTTAAGACAGTTAACTACTGTCTTAACACAGTAGTAATTATAATTATGGCAATCTTTTATCCCCACCCTCTATGTGAAAAAAATTTAAAAATTTTAACAAACAATACCTTTTTAGTAATTTTAGGAGTCCCCAAGAACATTTTTATTTTTCAAATTCAGTTTGGTGACTGTGTCATGTAACATTTAGAATAAAAGAATCCATAAGTGAAACTTGGCACATTGATTTATTCAAGTGAAATTTGTGATTGTTTTTGATTGAATTGATCAGTTCAGTTTAAATGTCCAGCCGTTTAGTGGCTGGCAGCTAATAAGAGGACAATGGGGAATTCTTGGAGGAAATGAACTATACTTTGGAAAACATTCCTCATCAACCTCTAATTATAGGAAAAGTGGATGCTGCATAGCTCATCCTTTCTGAACCTTGCTTTCCTCAATGGGCTCCTGGCTTTCCTTTCCACCAGTAAAATGGAGTCATTCCTATAAGATCTACCCTTTACTGGGTGCCTCTGTTTTGTTTTGTGATACACAAAACAGGCTGTTGGATAATATAAATATGACATACTTATGGGGGGGCAATACTTATACCAAAAAAGTATTCATTGTTCATCTAAGTCCACATTTGATTGGGTGTCCTGAATTTTTACTTGCTCAATCTAACAACCTGGTGCTAAGTGCTTATAGAAGTGTATTGAGATACCCCCTCAATTTGTAGGGAGATATTTATTATTCTCCTCATTTGATGAAAAAGGAAGTATTGACACGTTAAGTGATCTGCTCCAAGTCTCGTCGGTAGACGGCAGTCACCCCTGCTCCCTGGTTGGCTTCAGAGCTTCCTTCTTTTCATGTCTCCCCACCCCCACTGCTCCCCCGGTTCTGGCCCTCCACCTGTGCTGTCTGCAAATGCATTTTCAGCATCAGCAGCTCACTCTGATGAGTTACTATTTGCTCCTTTTGGTGTTTAGGTCTGAGGACTATATGGACTGGGGCAGAGGCCCAGGCTCACTTAGAAAGTGTGCCCGGGTTCAAACCCACCTGCAAATAGGATCTTGGAAATTGCTTTCGATGCTAAAAATGGAAATGAAGACTTTAATGTAGATAAAAGGAAGGTGTGATTTCAGTTGTCATGAACCTCAAAACCTGGGAGTTAGAAATTTTCTTTTTCCTTTTAGTGCCAGAAGGATCCCGAGTTGGTTGATAAGATAATGCAGGACCTGGATGCCAATAAGGACAACAAAGTGGATTTTAATGAATTTGTGGTCATGATGGCAGCTCTGACGGTTGCTTGTAATGATTACTTTATAGAACAATTGAAGAAGAAATGAAAGTAAAGACAAGTAGTAAGATTATCTAAAGGCTGAAATATGTCCATAGTTACTTATTGTTCATCTATTTCTTCCAGAGCCGTAGTCACAGTAATGCCATTTATAAGTATAGTATACATGTATTATAATCAGTTGCTAGGATTATTAGGTGATGTATATGTTAATAAATTGATTTGGAATAAATATTCCAAATCTTGTATGCCCTACTTGGAATGTTCCTATGTGTATGGAATTTTCCTATTTTTATTGAAGTGTAGTTGGCTTTCAATGTTGTGATAGTTTGAGGTCTATATCAAAGTGATTCAGCTATATATATGTGTGTGTGTGTACATATATATTCAGATATATATATATATATACACACACACTTCTATATCTTTTTCAATTTTTTCCAATAAAGGTTTTACAAGATATTTAATATAGTTCCCGGTACTATACAGCAGGTCCTTTTTATTTACCTATTTTTTATATAGTAGTATGTACCTATTAATCTCAATGAAAAATGTTATATGCTTTTTTTGTCTGTTAGCATCACAAAAATTAGCTCTTTCAAATGAGACTAGAACTTAGCAGATTACTCACAGATGTTCATCACCCTTCAATTGTACTTTGAATTTATCCTATTAAAGAAATAAAGTGGTTCTTGCATCCTCTTGTGATTCTGCTTCAAGAGGAAGAAGCTGTGGGTCTGGAAGCAGAAAGACCGAGAAGTGGGCGCAAGTGCTGGCTTTCACAGTGAGCTAGCTCAGGGAAGGGCTAAGTCTAGGGCTAAGGTGTTCAGCCACCCTTGGGGGCTGGTGTGGAGTTACTGACTTGCCCCTGGGGTCACGTAATTCTGAGGCAAGTGTCTTCCGCCGTTTTCCTGGGTTTCCTCTGGGCTGAGGTTCCATGGCCGGTGGGGAGGAGTGCTTCTTGCACCTGCTCTGGGCTCCTGCCCCTTCCCCGTCTCTGCAAAGCCCTCGCATGGGTCCTGCACCTCTCACATAAACCACTGACTCAGGACCTACTGGGAGGAAACTCCAACTGTGATGGATCCTTTGGAGAATTTAAGAAAGGGAATATGGTGTGATTATACTTTTAAGTGCTTGTCCCAGCTGTGGTGTGAAGAAAGAGCTGGAGAGAGGGTAAATGTGGAAGAGGGTGACCTTTTCGGAGGCCATGGGCTGTGTTCCGAGGGAGAGACAATGGCATCTTGGGCTGGAATCTGAGCAGGAGAGATGAAAAGAAGCAGTTGAATTTGCTATCTTTCGGAGGTGAGAGTGATAGGGCTTGCGGAGGGATTGGTAATGAGGCGTAGGAAAGAGAACAGTCCAGCACCATAGGGTGGGCACTGCTATTGCCTATCTGATATCCACTCCACCTTGCTTCCATATACTAGAGCCCTGGTTTGTGCAGGGTAGCAATGTGCTGAGCTCGAAAGTCTTATTCCCCAGCCTCTCTTGCATCTGAAGTGGAGCTTGTAACACAGTTCTGGGCAATGAGAAATAAGCAGAGAGCTACTAGGAATTTCTGGGAATTTCTGCTATTTCCATATAGGCTGTGTGCCTTACCTTGTTCATCCTTTTCTTTCCGTTGGCATGTAGCTGTGAGGCTGGAGGTGAGGCTGCCATCTTGTGACCACGAGGACAGAGAAGAAAAAAGGAGGAGCCGGGACATTGTTGGCTGAGAGGACCCAACTAACCACACAGCCCTGGTCTGCCTGCCTCTGGTCCTCTCGTTATGTGAAAGCAAACAAAAACTGCTCCTTGGTTAAGTTGGATTCTGTTATACACAGATAAACATAATCCCTAATATTTAGATTTTGGCTCAAGCAAATGATGCATTTTACTGAATAGGAAAGACTGGGGTAGGAGCAGCTTTGTGTGGGGACATGTGGGGAATAGCTCTGTTTGAAATCCCTGTTGGACATCCAAGTGGAGGTATCACATGAGCGGTTGGATATAGGACCTAGTCCAGATTTCAGATTAAACAGGAGACTGGGAAGACAGATTTGGGAGCCATTAGCATCTAGACGGTGTTTAGCCACAAGATTAGAGGAGATCATTTAGGAGGAGAATGTGGATAGAGAAGAAGAAAGGTCCAACGCTTAGCTCTCAGGAAAAAGGGAAGCCAGCAAATGATACAGCAAAGTCGTGGTCAGGGTGTAGAAGGAAAACCAGGAGAGTGTGGGGCTTCAGGAGCCTAGGGAAGAAAGTTTCTGGAGAAGGAAAGAGGGTGAAGTCCACTGAGAGAAGGAATGAGTTGAGAACAGAGGCCTGCCCTTTACATTTGCCAAGACAGGGCTCATCAGTAAATCACTGACCCTGACCACAGTGTTCTTTCCAGGGTGCCTGGCTCCCTATTTCAGGCTCCCTGGTTGCTCAGACAAGAAAGAATCCGCCTGCAGTGCAGGAGGCCTGGGTTCAATCCCTGGGTCGGGGAGAGCCCCTGGAGGGCATGGCAGCCCACGCCAGTAGCATTTCTTGGAAAATCCCAAGGACAGAAAAGCCTGGTGGGCTACAGTCCATGGGGATGCAAAGAGTCAGACATGACTGAGCAACTAACACTTTTATCTCCCTGTCTGGCTGATGGTAGGTACTTAATAACCATTTAATAAGCAAATAAAAGAATCTGCCAATTGTTGATTTTTTAGTACTAAGTAAGACCTGTCATTTTTTTCTTTAAATAGGATAATATTTTTTATTTCCCTTAAACCAATTCTGAACAGATAAGACAGAGAGAATTTAAAGGTCAGAACATTCTAGAAAAGAAGTATTTATTTCTTCTAGCCCTCAAAAGGTTGGAAGAAAAAATGAGAAGAAAAAAATTGAACACTTATTTCAGAGATATTTAGGATTTTTTTCTTACAAGAAGGTATATTGCTTATACAAGAGAAGGTCTGACTATTTCTCAGGGGTCTTTAAACTTTTCATTTAATTTGGTCCCCAGGTTTACATATTCTTAAGTAGGCCACTAATTTATGAGAAGTAAATCCAAAAATTTCCCACATTATATTCAAGTAGGGACATTCTCAACAGGGAGAAATAAATGGAAAAACAATGTTCATTTCATGGTGTTTCTAAAAATCGATCAAAAGTGAGGAAAAGCAATTTATGTGTCAAATTAGATTTCAAATGAGTAAGAATTACATGATGTACCTAAAGCTCTTTTCTAGTAGAGACTTTGTTTTATGTGTGTGTTAGGTATTTACAATAAGTTTGCAGGAGGCAAAATTGATTATTTCTTCTGCTCAGAGGCACTGGCCTAGCATTTCTGGAGCTTAAATGAACTTTAAAGAACATTCAAGGGTCATCTCTAAATTAGCACATTCTGATGTTTAACATTTTCTCAGTGTGGTTACTGGAAGACAAGGTTTATGGAAGGCAACAGCCTCTGTTTGCTTGGGGCCCTAGCCTGGATGTGTGACTGACAATACAGATGGCTAGAAAGCATTAACAAAGCCCCCAAACCTTGAGTTTTAATTTTAAAAAGACAGATTTTGTATTTGCTTAAGAATCAGGGACTGAAAGAAGGCTTTCTGGAAGCAAAGAAACGGGGAAAGGATGTTAGAGAGAATATGGGCCAAATCGCGCAGGTCTGAAGCCATAGGGCATGTTGGGAATGCTGTTATTGGGGTCTCCTGGGGCGTGGGAGAGCAGGAAATGGGGCTGGAGAGGAGGGCTCAGAATCAGAAAGGGCCTTGAGTATTAATATGAGAAATCTGAAATTTATCCTGAATGTTACGAGAAACCAATTTTTTCTTATTACTTAGAGCAGTTTTTGTGTTTCTACATGTCCCCCTAAAATATTTGAATCTTTAAAGCAGTGTATGGTGTGTTTTAAAAATTACTGATCTTACCTTTTGGCTGTGCTGGGTCTTCGTTGCCGCGCGGGCTTTCTCTGGTTGCGGTGGGCAGGGGCTCCTCCTTGCGGTACTGGGGCTTCCCGCAGTGGCTCTCTAGTGGAACACAGGCCCTCAGTGCATGGGCTTCCGCGGCTCCAGCACAAGGGCCCAGGAGTTGTGGGGCACGAGCTTTCGTTGCTCCTCAGAACTTGGAATCTTCCTGGACCAGGGATCGAACCCGAGTCCTCTGCATTGGCAGGCAGATTCTTGTCCCCTGTACCACCAGGGAAGCTCCTAAAGTAGTGGTTTTGAATTCCAACTTCACATTATATTCACCCAAGGTGTTGCATAAAAACAGAGATGAATATGAGCCCCCCTCCCGCTCAGATTCTGACTCAGTTGGCCTGGGTATGGGAGAAGACCGTGGTGATGCTGACAGCCTGGGCACCTCTGGTCCAGCCTGCACTCTGCAGCTCATGGGTTTTATCCAGCCTACTCTCTCCGGTTGGTGCCACTGCCTGCCACCTGGAGAGGCTATTTTCCCCTTGACTTCTCCACCTTTCTCAGTTTCTTATAAAGAAAGGGAATGCTATTCGGTCATTACATACATGTTTTCAAAGACTGTTGTCTACAGTGAAAAGTGTCTGCTGTATAATATTAACTTTAAACAGGAGGTGTTTGTTATGGTCCCAATTTGGTTTTTAAAAAGTTCTATAACATGAATCCAATGATTAAATGTTTTCACTGCTGTTCACATGATGAACTTATGTGATTATTGAATATGTGAATGAGGATATGTAAGCTGTATTAAAGATGTTATTTGTAGAAAGCATTGACCAGTGCAAAAATTAATTGGAAATAAAATATCTTTCCAAAAATAAAATAAAATAAAAAGTTCTATAACATGAGTTTTTACGATACTACCTTGTTTCTACTTGCAGTTTGTTACTTTCTTTATCCCAGTCAAGAAAAGTAAGGCTAAAAAAAAAAAAAGAAAAGAAAAGTAAGGCTTCCTTACAAAGTGAAGGCCTGTGAAAGTTGCCTGAAAACCACTAGTCTTCCTAGCTTTTGTTTTCCAGAGCTAGAGCCATTAAGGTAATTACGTGAGAAGTGTCCAAGGAAAGTGTCAAGAGAAATGGAATTATTCCTGAAGAATGGATTTCCCCAGAGCTTTGGAGGAGAGATGTTTCTGGTCCCCAGAGGA